GCCAAAATCAAAACCTATCTTGTCTCTGTGCGTTCATCTTTTTAACACCTTAATGTAACAGCTGAAACGTCTCCCAGCTTCTTTAGTGTCTAGAGGAGGGAATTATTACTAAAACAGCTGTGTTCATGAAGGAAACATGCTGGAAGCAGACTGTAGTGCCAGGTATGTCAGCTCAATTTTTTTCTAAGTCCAACAGATTGGACTGGCAACTCTGAAGTTGCAAGAGGGACATTCTGGCCACAGGGGGCGATAGGGGCTGGATGGCCTTTCAGTAACCCTGTAAAGGGTCATTTTAGCACATACCGGCTCCAAAAAAATTCTTTAAAAATGTGAAAAATATGCAAAGTATCCATTCATTAAAACAATTGTGAGCAAGAAAGTAGTTGGTTGTGCCACTATATTGCATATTTTAGGAAACAGACCCCAAACTGTTGTCGTCAAACAAAAGGAAAAACAGACGTGGACAAAACCGTTGGTACCCTTCATGCAATGAAATAAAACCCCACAATGGTCACAGAGCTAACTTGAATCCGACAAAAGTATAAATAAATAAAAATTCTATGCAATTTAACCAATGAAAGTCAGCATTTTCAACTATGCTGTTATGATCAGAAGTTGTTTCAGAAAATATTGCGAGTCGGCAAGAATTCCTTTCCCAAGCTTTATTCAACCTGCGTCACATGTAGCGGTCTCAGGCATCCATCTTTACTCGCTCACTCCTTCTTTTCTTCTCTTACATACGTTCTCCTCTACAATACTGCCCCCTAGTGGTAGACACAACACATGCGTCAATGGAATAATAAAAAAAAATAAACTCATAGAACAGGCCTGGACAAAAATGATGGTAACCCTAGAAGAGAATGAAAATAATTTGACCAAAGAAACATGTTAATTCAAGGTGTGTCCATTAATTAGCATCACAGGTGTCTACAATCTTGTAATCAGTCAGTGGGCCTAAATACAGGACCCCAGGTAGTCACTGGGTGTTTCTCAATGCCAAGGAACCTTGTCTTGATGTCTTGGCCCCGCCCCGGTTGCCTAGGAGATACGTCATCGGAACCGCCAATACGTTAATGTTTATGTTTATTTATTTGGCAGATGCTTTTATCCAAAGCGACTCACAATTTATAACATATAGGGCATGTTGTGATCTGTGGGAGAAACTGGAGTACCCGGAGGAAACCCACGCATGCATGGGGAGAACATGCAACTCCACGCAGAAAGGCCACAGCCGAGTTTCGAACCTGCGACCTTCGTGCTGCGAGGCAACAGTGCTAATAACTGCGCCACCAAGCAGCCATGAAGACGTGTTCCAATTGTTCATGTTCTACCGAGGCGTGTGTTCTCCGTTTGTTAGCCGTTTAGTAGGGCTGTAGCGAAGCCTCGACGACGTCGACGGCTCGATTCTAAAAATTTGTCGACGTCAGATCCGGAAGTCGACGCACCGCGCCCACTTGTTGCATCCCCAGGAGTTTGTAAATAGAGGAGGAATCTGCCTGTTTTTCCTCTAGTTCGCCCTCTTCTCCGCCTTCACTAACATCTCCGCCAAATACCGAAGACCCGGAACAACGTCCATCCACTACTAGATTATTTTCCTGTTTTGCCCCTTCGTCTCCCGGCAACGGACAACAACTTCCGGGGTCAGATGTGCTGCTTCGTGTCTATCGCAGATGTAGAAAATCACCGGGAGCGCTTCTCCCTTCATTAAGGAGCTTCTTTCAGACACTAGGAGAGCTGTTTTGGTGGTAGCAGTCTCTCCTCCATGCTGGTCTGTTTGCTGCTGGGTGTTTTTGGTTCATTTAAACTTGGTAACTTGAACTTAACGTTGGTAAAGCTACTGTTAGCATCTTCGCTAACAGCTTCTTGCGTTGGGATAAGCTGTTACGTTTTGGTTTAGAGTTCATCTTTTTTGTGGTGCAGATCTCCCTTTTATTACATTTAGAGTGTTGTGGGTTTTCGGTTTAGTGTAAAATATCACCTGAGTTTGGTTTAACCCGTAAGACCACTCGCCTCACGCACATAAGTGACCAAAACAAAGCAGCATGGAGACACTCCATCTTCTACCACCTCTCAGGCAGCAGCCTGCTCTCCCAAGTTCTACACGTCACCAGAACATAACCAACCAACACAATAAACGCAGTGTTATACAAAATGGAAGGCCTGTAGTGTTTATTCTCTTACAGAAAGAATTTATCAATTTTTTTGAGGAATTTATTTGAGATTTTCTGGTTTTTGTTAATTGTGCAATAGAAAAATAATCATTAGATTAATTTTCTAAATAGTCATTAGAATAGTCGACTATTCGATAAAATAATCGTCAGAATAATCGTTTTAAAAATAATCGTTTACCCCCAGCCCTACCGTTTAGCTAGCTGGGCGAGGATACATTGGAGGTGTCTTGTAGCCTAGCCTTGGTCAAAAATTACCCAGAATACAATGCGATATTTTCAAGAGGATGGCGGATCAGAAGCCAGCAGCTACTACAATGAGTAGCTACTATGAGGACAAGTTTAAAAGTAAGCCAACTAATTTCAAATGTATTTTTTAGATCCAAAAAAGTTATCTATGGTTGGTTAGTTGTTTAGTAGTTACAGCTTCGGTGGCTAGCGGGTAGTAACTCGCTTATATTTTTTAATTAATAAACATATACACAATTTAAAAAGTAAAAGGCTCGTTATATATTTATGTTGAAACTAATACTTATAAAATATAACGTTGTCTCCCGTGTCGCATGACGCTACGTGACCGCCGTGGAAGCTGCGGTCACGTGACACAAGTCTGTTCCATTTAACTGTTTTCTTTAGTGTCCTCAAAAGCAAGGCGCCTGGCCTTGCAAGACATCGCCTCGCAAGGCCAGGCGCCTTGACATTTAGAAACACCCACTGTGTTGTTTGGGAGATTAGAAAGAAAATTGCAGACAAGCACATTAAGGGTAAAGGCTATAAGACCAACTTCAAGCAGCTAGATGTTCCTGTGACTATTCAGAAATTTAAGATCCATGGGACTGTAGCCAACCTCACTGGACATGGCTGCAGGAGGAAAACTAATGACAAATCAAAGAGATAGATAATCAAAATGGTAACAAGAGAGCCCAGAAAAACTTCTACAGAGATCCAAGGTGAACTTCAAGCTCAAAGAACATCAGTGTCAGATTGCACCATCTGTCGTTGTTTGAACCAAAGTGAACCACATGGGAGACGACCAAGGAGGACGCCATTGTTGAAAACAAATGGTAAATGGTAAGTGGCCTGTATTTGTATAGTGCCTTCTTAGGGTTCTATGACCCCCCAAGGCGCTTCACAACACAATCAGTCATTCACCCATTCACACGCTTGTGGGTTTGAGCTACGATGTAGCTGCAGCTGCCCTGGGGCACACTGACCGAGGCGAGGCTGCCGAGCACAGGCGCCACCGGTCCCTCCGACCACCACCAGCAGGCAAGGCGGGTTAAGTGACCACCACACAGCAGAACTCCTTCAGTTTTTGTGAAGATAAAACATCAACGTTGCAGAGCAGACAGAGTTAGTGGTAGAGTCATGTTGCTGTTATCCTATCCAAGGCAAGATGTCCAAATATCAGAAAATAAGACTGCAAATCCTGTCGTTTTGGGTTGGGGTCCTTGAATTTTCAAAATGTGACACATAAGAAAGTCATAGATATTACAGGTTTGGACCTACTGTGAGTTTGTGGCAAAGCGGCAAAAAATACACACCAGGTATTTCACACAAAAGCAATGCCATATCAGATGGGAAATCTTGCAAAATCTCTCAAGATCAAATGTCATGTTAGAGTAGGCATTCATGGTTGGTCTGATTGGCTACATGTCATTTTCAACAAGCAGCAGGCTTGTTTGTCCTTGATTTCATACCAAGGCATTCCAACATGTTTAATATTCCCAATTTATGGTCGAAGCGGTCCCAACGTGCTTCCAAGCAGACCAGATCACTCTTACCACATCACACACGGCAGGAATATCAGATCAGATTATCTTTAGAATGATTATAGTACTCGTGCACATCCTTAAAGTGGTACTTCACTGTGAAACCATTTTTTACTCATTATTTCTTGGACAATTATCGGCCACTACGAGTTTTTCATGCATTAGCATCTCCTGCATTAGCTTCTGATATGCAGATCTACATCAAACTGTCACTTAACATTCATAGATTCACCCATCTTGACTCGCAACGGGGAAGTCTGTTGTAGGTTTAGTGTCCCAGAAACATCAGAGAACATCTAGGCTAGTAGAAGCTAACTGTTAGCATTAGCAACTCCACCACACTGCACAACTCCTCCAGGCTTGTGTTTTTTGTGGAGATAAAGCATCAACGTTGCAAAGCAAACAGTCTGTGATAGAGTTGTGTTGCTGTTAGCCAGTCAGAGACGAGATGCCAGAGTATCAGGAAATAAGAGTTCAGATCTTGTCATCTGAAGCTCAACTCTGATCTGGAATTTCTTCCTATTAGAGGCCACTGTAAATGTATTAAACAAATGAGTACAGTACCACTTTCAGACTGTCAAAAGGCGAGAATTCAATCAAAAATCACCTTGTTGTACTGACATGTTTCTACGGTAGCCTAAAGAGGACAAACTTGACAATGGTCTCTGTAGTTTTCCCCACACAGATAAATCACAGCATTTTCCTGCATTTTTATCATGTTTAGCAAATCAAACATCATTGATTTCTGAACTTCAGTAGTTTTACAAAAACATGTGAGCCTCAAACTTTTGTGTGGGAGTCACCATGGGTTCAGTTACCTCTGAAATTTGCCAGTTTTTTTTTTTCTATTTGTTGATGTTTTCATGAAAAACAGCAAAATCCTGTAAAGGATTTATGTCACTTCAACTGTTCAGCTGACTGGTTTAAAATGATTTACAGGAAACAGCCGTTATATGTGGGTCAGCGAGTGTTAAAGAGTTAACGCGCACTAACAGTTGATAGCCTCGCCCTAATTCTCCAAAAGAAAATGAAAAAGGTCTGGAAATTCAATTCAGTTCAATTCAATTCAAAGATAATTTATTAATCCCAGAGGGAAATTAGAGTTTCAGTACACACAATTCTGAGATCAGACATACATACATAGACACATGACAAGAATTGGTGACTGTGGTCATTCGCAACCTGAGTCGCGCTACCTTAATAGATCAAGAGGGTGTATATGAGGATAGAGTCAGGGGGAGGGAAAAAAAGGCACTTCAGAGTTACCCTCAACAGAGAGGGCAGCTTTGCTATGCAAAAAAACACCTCAGACAGAAATGCAACAGACTTCAGACATTACACAACATAAGTGCCCAATAGGTGGGGAGGTAGGGTAGGACCGTCCTCACTTCAGTGCATGCAGCCGCAAGAGTAGCGCTTATCACCTCCGTTTGGACATGGAGGGAGATAATGGGTTAGAGAGCACACTGACTCCTAGATCCGGTTGCACGGCCTTCACCGGTCACAGTCCCGCCCAAGCTGGGATAGGGAGAAAGAGTTACCATAGCGATGACAGCATTCCACATTTCTTCTGAGGGGGGAGTTATCTCTTCAGCCTCACAGGCTCAAGGGCACCAGATTCAGATAAGAATTGTTTTGGGGACAGACAGAGATAATTTCCTCTCTGCTTTAGAGTTCTGTTGGTCTTCAACCCCTCTAGATCCAATAATGGCGTTATTAATCAATCCCAGTCCGTGCTGATCCGTCAACTCTCTCTTTGATCAAATCCACCATTTGTGCCAGTCTGAATCTCAGCCAAAGTTCCAAGCTTACGACTCATCTTGACAATTATATGAGTTTGTGAGTTCACAGCACGGTGTAATCCATCCCTGAGCTCCGGGATTGAGCCAATATTCCTCGAAAGCTCGTTAATTTTCCGGTATGCCAGGTAACTGCTCAGGCCAAACAGCAGGAATCCCGACACCAAAATGAAAAATATCCAAACATCTTCACAATCCTCTACAGACAGGTGAGAGAGGCAGATCAGGTTCCACTGTTTCCAGGAGTCCATGATGTGCCCAGCTGGCTCTGTCCCAGAGGGGCATCCGGGAGCCCCTTCTCCCGTTCTCATCGTTGAAAAAATTTTGTCAATTGCGTTGAGAGACCAACTGACCAGGTCCATTTTTAATCATTTCCAGTTTCCAGAACATATGCAGAAAGTGCCGTGCACACAAAGACAGGACAAAGAGCCTTGGGATAAGACAGGGAGGAGAGGAGGGAAGCGTCTGTACTCTCCAAGAGCCGGAGGAAGAAAAAATAAAATGGTTGAATGTTCCTGCTTCAATTATTAACAAATGATGCAAGCAAGCAAAGTCCCTTAAAAAAATATATAAAGCAGCTTATTGATGAAATGACGTCAGATGCCTTCACATTTCCTGTTTTTGTTCTCATGGATATTTTTAATCACTTACACAGGAAGCTTAAATCCTACATCTCCAGTCTTTTCATTCTGATTTATTCCCAAGTTTGAACTTGGGTCTCTCATCCATCTGGTGTCAAATGCATGCTTCACTAAAAGGCTCCACTCGTATTAACACGTTTTCATTAACTATAAATCTGTTTATCCTAATAAATATAGATATTTAGAATGTTTTTACAGTGTCATTGTAGTTCAGTTCAGGATGATGGCACACAGATCCAAACATCTCAACTAGTGCAGCATACAAAAATAGTAAAATGGCCAAATCCCATGCTTTTTTGCTGGCTGCAGGCCAACGGGGATTGTGAGGCAGGCAGCTGAAACCGATGAAGACCTTAATAATCAGATGAGGAATAAAGAGAACAGGGGAATATTCCAGACTATTGCTCCTCTTCAGTCGGATACTTTTGTTGGTTTATTCCCAGCATTCCAGGAAAAAGATGAACATATTTGTGAGGATAAGAATCCATTTGTCAAACCAGCTGGTTCTTCTCACTGAATGCTAACTCCCATATTCCTTATTAGTTAGAAGAAAAACACTGATTCCTGTTGTGAGAGCAAGGTCTAGCCATCCTTGGCCACCATGGTGTCCTTAGATAGGTAGACCACCCAGTAGACCATATTAAATGCCCCAAAAGACACCGGGAACAGGATCCGTGCGTATTTGTCTATTTTACTGGTTCCACCCATGCCAGCAGTGGTGGGCTGAGAGCATGGCGTCTGCTTTGGCTCCAGTTTGTTCCCCATCATCTGAAGACGCTCCAGCTTGGGCCCCAGCAGATGCTGCAGAGACGAGGCGCTGACGTCCTGCTTGCACGGCGTCCCCACCATCACATCAGGAGTGGAGGCAGCTGCTTGAGGGGTGCCCTTCACCAGCTGGGCGGAGGAGGAGGCCACGCTCAGCAGGCTCTCGGATTTCGGACTAGAGCGGGACAGCGTGGAGGAACTGCCATTGGCGCCAGCGGCTGTAGGTCTCAGTGGTCTGCCTCGTCCTAAACCTGAGATGTTGGTGGTGGACTGGGCTCTCTGCTGACCGCTCTGCTCCGGGTGTGAAATGTAGTTGAGTCGCTTTCTCAGAGAGCCGTTGGTGTCAGGGGTTTGCTGTAAGAACAGACACAAATGTTTACATGCTAAGGAGGTTCTAGAGAACTCTTGCATCATGTTGGACTGAGGACCAAGATGATGTGGAAAATCATTCAAGTGAAGGCCACAGCCTTAAGTCTTTTAAGGACAACTCATGAGGTTTATTATCATGTCACAAATCAGTAGTAGAGTACTGAAATAAAAGTGAACTGAGCTTTGACTGTGAATGTGAGATGTTAGATCGAGGACGTCGCCACCTCACGTTTACTTTTTAGCCTTTATTTCGGTCTGAATTTGCTTGTTAGCTAAATATTTAGCCATGAGCTGACACATTTATTTATAGATTTCTACATTCAGATGTACCTAGAATATTAACATTATTTTTTGAGGAAAAACATCGTAACATCCTTATGTTTTCACCCGCTTATCTGAGACTAGGTCACAGGAGTAGCATCCCCAGCAGAGAGGCTCAAACCGCCCTCTCCCCAGCAGCCTCCACCTGCTCCACACGCAGGGTGCCCAGGCGGTGTCTGGCAAACGTGGGGATGTAATCCTTCACCATGTCGACCCACAGGCTTCCTGCTGGTAGGACATGATTCAAACGCTCTCCTGGGAAGTGTCCAAGGGACATCCTGACGTAACGCCTGAACCAGTTCAGCCGGCTCCTCTCAGTATGGAAGAGCAGCTCTACTCTGAACCTCTCCCAGATGTCCAAGCTCTTCACTCTTTCTCTACTGTTGGGCCCAGTCATCCAACGGTCTGGTCTGCCACCAGACACAACCCAAGCTCAGGCCTGCCCTCAGGGTGGGCACCCATCTGGGCTGGGCACGCTGGTTTGAAGCTCAAAACGGGTCTTGTGCTGCCCTCACGACACGTGACCATGTGAAGCTAGACAGCCAGCGAACAAAATAGACGAGATCTCCACACAAGGCTTGCTTTTCTTGATTTTACTGAAGATCTTTTAAGCCTTACAGGTGCTGGCCAGTAAATTAGAATATCATCAAAAGGTTGAAAATATTTCAGTAATTCCATTCAAAACGTGAAACTTGTACATTATATTCATGCAATGCACACAGACCAATGTATTTCCAATGTTTATTACGTTTAATTTTGATATTTATAGGTGACAACCAATGAAAACATCAAATCTGGTATCTCAGAAAATTAGAATATTCTAAAGGCCAATGAAAAAATGTTTGTTTCTCTAATGTTGGCCAACTGAAAAGAATGAACATGAAAAGAATGTGCATGTATAGCACTCAATACTTAGTCGGGGCTCCTTTTGCCTCAATAACTGCAGTAATGCGGCGTGGCATGGACTCGATCAGTCTGTGGCACTGCTCAGGTGTTATGAGGGCCCAGGTTGCTCTGATAGTCGTCTTCAGCTCCTCTGCATTGTTGGGTCTAGCGTATTGCATCCTCCGCTTCACAATACCCCATAGATTTTCTATGGGGTTAAGGTCAGGCGAGTTTGCTGGCCAATCAAGGACAGGGATACCATGGTCCTTGAACCAGGTGCTGGTGGTTTTGGCACTGTGTGCAGGTGCCAAGTCCTGTTGAAAGGTGAAGTCTGCATCCCCATAAAGTTGGTCAGCAGCAGGAAGCATGAAGTGCTCTAAAACTTCCTGGTAGACGGCTGCATTGACCCTGGACCTCAGGAAACAGAGTGGGCCAACACCGGCAGATGACATGGCACCCCACACCATCACTGACGGTGGAAACTTTACACTGGACCTCATGCAACGTGGATTCTGTGCTTCTCCGCTCTTCCTCCAGACTCTGGGTCCTTGATTTCCAAAGGAAATGCAGAACTTGCTTTCATCAGAAAACATAACTTTGGACCACTCAGCATCAGTCCAGTCCTTTTTGTCCTTGGCCCAGGCGAGACGCTTCTTGCGCTGTTTCATGTTCAAGAGTGGCTTGACACACGGAATGCGACACCTGAATCCCATGTCTTTCATGAGTCTCCTCGTGGTGGTTCTTGAAGCGCTGACTCCAGCTGCAGTCCACTCTTTGTGGATCTCCCCCACATTTTTGAATGGGTTTGTCGTCACAATTCTCTGCAGGGTGCGGTTATCCCTAGAGCTTGTACACTTTTTTCTACCACATTTTTTCCGTCCCTTCGCCTGTCTGTTAATGTGCTTGGACACAGAGCTCTGCGAACAGCCAGCTTCTTTAGCAATCACCTTTTGTGTCTTGCCCTCCTTGTGCAAGGTGTCAATGATTGTCTTTTGGACAGCTGTTAAGTCAGAAGTCTTCCCCATGATTGTGGTGCCTTCTAAACAAGACTGAGGGACCTTTTAAAGGCCTTTGCAGGTGTTTTGAGTAAATCAGCTGATTAGAGTGGCAGCAGGTGTCTTCTATATTCAGCCTTTTCAGAATATTCTAATTTTTTGAGATACCAAATTTGGAGTTTTCATTAGTTGTCACTTATGAATATCAAATTTAAATGTAATGAACATTGGAAATACATTGGTCTGTGTGCATTGCATGAATATAATGTACAAGTTTCACGTTTTGAATGGAATTACTGAAATATTTTCAACCTTTTGATGATATTCTAATTTACTGGCCAGCACCTGTATCTCTCTCAAGGCTTCTCCTAGCTATTTCTTATTTGTAACTGAAACATACAGAGAGTGAACATAAATCGCTAGCTAATACACATCTTAATAAGAACTTAAAGATTAGCCTAGCTTAACAGGTACATTACATTAGCATCACAGTTCACTCTATGTAAACACATATAAAGGTTATTTCTGAACACATTAATACTTACAAAGACGAACGTTTCCTAAAGGTACAAGCGTGTAGGGCACTTATAGCGTGTACATGAACTTATTCACTGTTTTAATACTGCCGAAGCACTTTTCACAGCGTTCGCGGAGAAAAAACGTCAAAGATAGGTGAATGATAAGAGCGCTCACTCGCTCCCATTTCCGCACGTACAATACAAAGATCGCTTGTGATAACGATGTCTCACTCTGAGCAAATTTCAAACCCACACATTTTAACTGTTTTTTTTAGCATGAATCACACATTTCTTAACTTTGAAATTATTTATCACCTTGCTTTCATAACTTAATCAGATTATGCAATAACTACTGACTTTTAACTAAAAGGCATAACAGGTCTTATATAGTAACATGTAGTATTTCATTTTCAAGGTGAAGACATTTGAAGAGGTTTGTGAGTGCGGTGTTGTTGCTGTTATTTTCCTTTTCATAATTATCTGTCAGAAGATTGTTGCATTGATCTGACACCACCCCTCCTGACACAGATGGCCTCCCTCTGGAAGTGAGTCCAATACAGATGTCACTTAACAAGGATTGCTCTCATTTCACACCAGCTTAAGGCAGAAAGTCAGCAGCGCTGCACCAGGGTGGTGATGCAGCGCAGCATCAAAGGGGCTTATCCTTTGAGAGTCAAGGCGGGTGTGATGCCGGCACTGAGGCATTTGCAGGAATAATCCAGCCCCCCCTCCTACTCTGAAACTGAAAGCATCCAATGTGTCCCACGAGCAGCGGAGGAAGAGCGTGGACTGGGTGTTTTTTTTTAATCACGAGGACATAGAACCATCAGGAGCCAAGCCTTCTGCTAACAGGACCAGCTCCTGAAGAGGAGAACATTAATCCCCCCAACCCCACCACCAGATTCTCACTGAAATCTATACAGATGTACCGGGGCTGAGTTGCCGTGGCAACCTACTAATCCAGTGAAGTGCCGTTGTCACTGCATTCAGGAATGATTACGCCACACTGGGATTTGGACTGGCGGGGGCAACTTCAAGTGTTTAGAGTAAAACTACATCACTGGTTTGTGTCAGCTTCAACTTTTTGTTTGTACCATCTATAATATTCATCTGTTTACTGGCATTCGTCCTTTTTGGCACCATTTATTGAGTTCACACGCATCTAAACAATAGAAGAGTGGGTTAAAAGCCTCATCAAGACATATGCAAAGGCCTTTGTGACACATTCAACATATCTGAGAGCGTGAGAGCGCTATGGTAGCTTCATAGCATATTCATGAAGTCTGATTCAATCCACATGTCAGCTACCATGCTGGTAATGTGATTCAACTTCCTGACGCTGCAACGTGAGACTGTGTCGGTTCTTACTGCAGCTTTCAGACACTCGTCTGTTTAAAAGCTATTATTATTCCAACCACTGTAGATCAAATTTGCATGAACAGCTATGAAATTTAGGAGATGGGAGCCACTTTAACATGGCAGCAATACACTTATAGCTGTCTTTCTACAGTCGTGAAGGATGGAAACTTTATTTCTCCAAACTGAGGTCATTCAGGAAGCTGGATTTCAGCAAACACACATTTGCTGAAAGTTTCTGATTACTCCAAAGTTATCTTTTGGTAAAAATGAAAAAGAAAGAAAGAATTTGATGGTTTTTGTTATGTAATTATCTCTGTTCAGAAATATAGCTGGTGCAGGATTTTCATTAGGGATGCACTGATCAGGTTTCTTGTTGCCGATCACCGATACAATATCAAAGAATGCTGATCACCAATACCGATATCAAAGAATGCTGATCACCGATACCGATATCAAAGAATGCTGATCACCGATACCGATATCAAAGAATGCTGATCACGATACAATATCAAAGAATGCTGATCACCGATACCGATATCAAAGAATGCTGATCACCGATACCGATATCAAAGAATGCTGATCACCGATACCGATATCAACGAATGTTGATCACCGATACCGATATCAAAGAATGCTGATCACAGATACCGATATCAAAGAATGCTGGTCACCGATACCGATATCAACGAATGTTGATCACCGATACCGATCACCGATACCGATCATGTGGATTGGCCAGAAATTTTCTACAACATTATAATGAGTGCTACAAACTACATAATCTGGGAATAAAGGAAATGCAACCTAATCTAAAATGGTCTGTATTAGGGTTGTCACGGTGTGAAAATTTAACCTCACGGTTATTGTGACCAAAGTTACCTCGGCTTTCGGTATTATCGCGGTATTTTTTTTAAACATGCTACATTTTCACACAATTAAATAAACCCTGTATGTCAGGAAATATTGTCCTCAGTTTGTGTCTAAATTTTGCCTAAAATGTGTTATTTTGTAATTATGTTGTTTATTTGTTTACATTTTTCCCCTTTAGTCTTTAAAATACCAATATTTGCCCATAACTTCTTATTTTATGTCTGTTTGATGTCATCATTTGAAAATATTAGATCAGATGATACTCAGTACTCAAGTAGCCTTCTAATCAGATACTTTTTTACCCTTACTTGAGTAATAAACCCTATATCAGGAAAATATTGTCCTCGGTTTGTGTCCTTCCAGTGAGCTTTGCAGATGTGGGAAAATGTCATCAGGCAGTAATCATTGTTAAATTCATAATTATTCTCGGAGAGAGACCAACTCTTATCTGCCCCTGGGAGCCCCGTAATGCATAGCGTCATTTCAACATGGCGGTGTCCGCGACACGGTTTATATGCAGGTAGCGGCGCTGCGGCTGCTTTATATAGCGACTCGTTGCATTCTCCCTCAACCCAAATCCTCGGATCACGCATTTTAGCGAAAACGCTAACGTTAGCTTGCCTTGCGTTGACTGTAGAGTTGTGGGTGATGGTCACGCAGATGTGTCATGAGATTTGAAGCGTTGCTGCCTTTCACAGACACTTTTTCTGCACGTGCTGCAAACAGGATAGCCGTCTTCTATCAGCTGTCCCTCGGCATTCTTCAGATATCCAAAAGATGCCCGTACTTCCCACTTTTGTCTTCTTTGAGGGATAATAAATGTCCTCCTGAGCACTGCCGTCTCCTCCTTTGGTCATTATTTCAGCTTTAGCTTCAAGAAAGTTTTGGTTGTAAACAGCAAAGCGCACATGTGCCACCGGTCCTGCAACTTCAGCAGATGATACGGTGGCTGGTAAGGGTCACCGCGCCTACACCGTAGCCACGGTAACCCACCGAGATAATATAGTTTTTTAAAAAACAAGACGGTTATTATTATTGTCAACTTTTTTTTTTACCGGGGTTTACCGCTACACTGGTTACCGTGACAACCCTACCTGATCGGTCTGCTTTGATCTATTTTGAAAACTCCGATCAAAACCGATAGGGGCGCTATCGGCCGATTACGATCAAATGCCGATCCATCGGTGCATCCCTAATTTTCATATGCACTTAAACTAATTCAACTCAGTGAGATTAAACACAATTGAAGTGTTATTCCAGAGAGGTTTGAGGAGGGAAACAAAAACAAAGCCCGTCACCTGCAGCACTTCTTCCGCGTCCTTCAGCTTGACAGGCGTGGTTTGGGGCACAGGGGGACATTTGGATGGCTTCTTTCTGGCCCGCTCAATCTGTGCATTGGTGAAGTAGTTGACAGCAGCAAACTCAATGAGGGCAGAGAAGACAAAGGCGAAGCAGACGGCAATGAACCAGTCCATCGCAGTCGCGTACGAGACCTTAGGAAGAGAGTGGCGGGCGCTGATGCTGAGTGTCGTCATGGTCAGGACAGTCGTGATGCCTTATATGAAGGGGGAGACAACAAGAGATATAGAAACTTATCAACCACACGAGTCTCAAGCAAAGGGAAATGCCTCTAACCGCTGTGTTTTCTAGTAGTCAACTGCCATCTTACTAATGAAGAAAAATATCAAAGATTAAAGGTGCATTATGTAAGAATTAGGTTAGAATGAAATTCTGTGGTAAAACCTGGGTGCTCCAGTCCATTTTATAAACAGCCTTTCCCATCCTCACTGCAGTTTTCTGAGTTTCACGACTGTTACACAAGTTACCAAAGTTACATATCAGCACCAGAAAATTCTAGATGACGAGCAAAGACGAGTCATACACAGGAAGTTGATGAGTAGATCTGGTTGATTTCTGGTAGGGAGCACTTATTACACTTATAGCAGTTTGTCTCCAGCATTACTGGAAGTGTGGTTGTTTGCTGTCTTGCTGTTAGCTTGCTGTTATAGTGCTGAACAACTCATTAAAGTAAGGAAAATGCCACGATTGACTCTTTATTCACTTCGCACATATATTTCACTCTAATATCCAGTTTTTGGTAATTGAAATTAGCTTGAGATATTTTTAACAGCCTACTCTTTGCTTCTAATTCATTGTTAGCATTGTTAGCTCAATGTTAGCCTCTAGCCTTGCTTCACCCAACACTGGAGTAAAAAAAACTATGCTGTTGCTTCTTAGGGGTACAAGAAATAACTTCTGGGTCGCTCCTGTTTACTGGCTTCGGTTCTTCAAACAACTCAGTAGTTCTCTGTGCCGAATTACAAATCCCAACACTGTAGCATTAGCTTGGCACAGACTCACAGATTGTAAACAGCAACTACATCCCTCTTAGTTTTTCTGAAAGGAGAAAAACTGACAACCTCCAGCCGGCTGAGAAAGAAATCTGTTTCAATGTAACCTTCCCTCCAACATGATTCAGACATTAGACTGTTTTGTGATTATTTCATTGTAAAATCCTTAGAGTTTTGCTACTTTAAAAGTTACTATTTCAAAATTTCAAGTGTTTTTTGTCTTTCGCCAGCAGAAGCTGCAGCTTCCTTTCAAACGAGCATGTATTCCAAAACAGCACATAAAAAATGGATAAAAAGAAACAATAACTGTTCAATAACCCATGCATGTAATGTTGCTTCATCTGCATATTTCATTAACTGACTGCCGGGGGATAATGAACCATGTATATTGCTCTATGCAGCGTGAGACACACACAGAAAGGAGTATAAATAGTAACTATTGTTGAATTACCACACTGTTTTTGGTGAGTCTCACAGGGAAACAGTGGCTTGTTACATAGCTGGTGAGAAGTAATATTAGAGGTTTTCTTTTAAGAGCAAATCTAAACAACCAAACGTTTGAAATCTGGTGAAACTAGCAGCTCAGGTCTGTGTGAGTCAACCAGCTTTAACAGTTCTGACTTATCTAGGTGTGATGTTTATTATCTGACATCTACTGTTAAGTGTTTTGGAGTCCCTGAGATGCTATTCTTTATCAACACACAAAACACACCTCTTGTATCCGTAACCGATAATCGTCCACAAAAGACAAAAATCTTTTATTCTCTTTAGAAATTATTTTAATTAGAATATATTGCTGAGTGGAAATAAACGAAGAAATTAAAACTAAATCTTTCTTATACTTATTAAATTATTTTTGTGGGCCACAAGCTTGTTCAACTTATTGATTTCTCCTTCTGGATTCAGAGGAAACTAAAGTTCCTCCAGATAAGTCTCACAGAAAACAGTAACAGGACGAACAGTAGGAAGTAATCAGACTTCTTCTGATGCAGTGGCGTAGCCAGAAACTCATTTGTTGGCGGCCTAAGAAAAAATGTGTGGGCCCAATAAAAGTAATTGAAAACAGGTATATTTTGCTTATATATATTTCTATATATGTATATATATGTGTATGTGTGTGTGTGTGTGTGTGTGTGTGTGTGTGGAACATCATGGATTTAACAAATAAATCAAGAAAAGATTCCCATCTGAGCATCATATCATTATCATATTAGAACACTGGGACTGTGGGACAGCATTCTGCACATGTCACGTCTGAAGTTCAGAGTGCGTCTGTCACAGGTCAGACGCACTCCAGCGGAGCCACGGTCCACGGGTGCACATGTGAGCACAGGTGGGTGTGAGTAATTTAACAACATTGGTGTAAATAGCGCCAATAACGAGACGCAGTGACTGGAGCAGCTGTGGAGCTGTGCCGCACACACACACACACACACACACACACACACACACACACACACACACACACACACACACACACACACACACACACTGATTCAATCAGAGCGCACGCTGCGCAAACTCCGGCGCTGCGCTGCTCCATCAGACTGAAGGCAGAGATTAGCATTGCCTCCTCTGTGCTAAAAACTTTTAAGAGGTTTCTTAACAACATTTTTCATTCAAGGTCAAACGAATATATTAGCTTCTATTTTGGGATCACGGATGAAAGTCAGCTCCAGCCACGGCCTCGTCATGAACCTCAATGTACCCCATGTTACTCCAGGAGCATTTGCTATTCCTGTTTGCGTGGCAGCGGATCGCGGGTTCAGCCAGAGCATAGAACAGCAATGAGGCTGTCTGAGGCAAAAGTGACCCTCATGGCTGTAGCTTTTCCAGCTTTTCCCTATAGAGACATTTGAATACGCACAAGCAGGGGTCTCATTTATAAAACATTTAGTAGAACTAAAACCGTACTTAAGCTCAGCAAAAAAAATGTTCTTATGTCAAGTAGGTTTGTGATCTATAAAACATGGAGTACACACAGCTTCATGCAATCTCCCCTTTATAAATCACAATCTATCTACAAAGGTTCTCCGGTGTTTCTGGATCACATCCCGCCCTCAACACGCCCACTAGTAAGCCATAAATGCTCAATGCAAAGGGCCTTGTGGATCTCATGCATATACACAAGCCGGCTTGTTGCAGCATTCCACCATTAACGATGGCGACCGCAAATCAAGGAAGCGCAATTTCACCGAGGCAGAAGTTGAGGCACCTGTGGGTGAGGTGGAAAAATGAAAGGAAGTGTTTTGCAAAACAAATGAGAGAAAATCCATGGAGCGGCACAGCGTTGCTGAAGCCGTCAATGCTGTGAGTTCTTCAGAGAGATGCCATTTGAGTAGGTGGGCCCCCTGGTTATAAGTGGGTGGGCCCCGTGTCACTGAAGGAGATTCAGATCAGACACAGAGCTGCGTGTGTTAACGGGACGGTATGACTTTATTTGCCAAATTCAGGAAGGGCCAAAGTGCCTGACGGCTGCAGACCGGCTGCAGAGCCAGAGACTAGGTTAACGCATGCTCCGTCTCCAGTAGAATCAGGAATCTGCAGCAGCATCAGACGTAAATCGGGGATCTCCAGCTCTGCAGCTGTAGCTTTCTCGTCGACCCGGCCGAGAAAGGTTTATGACTGGTCGCAGATTGTCCTTCTCTTTCCTTGCTCCAGGAAGAACCGTTTGGAGCACAAATGGTTTCTTTGTTGTTGTCCTTCCGGCTCTTGGAGAGTACAGATGGTTTTTCCCTCCTCCCCTCCCTATCTTATCCCCAAGGCTCTTTGTCTGTCTTTGGGTGTACGGAGCTTCTATATTTTTCTGGAAACTGGAAATTATTAAAAATGCACCTGGTCAGCTGGTCGCTCAACGCGATTGACATAATTTTCTCAACGATAAGAACGGGAGAAGGGACTCCTGGATGCCCCTCTGGGACAGAGCCAGCAGGGCACATCATGGACTCCTGGAAACAGTGAAACCTGATCTACCTCTCTCAACTGTCTGTAGAGGATTCTGAAGACGTCTGGATATTCGTGGTGTTGGTCTCAGGTTTCCTGCTCTTTGGCCTGAGCGGTTACCTGGTTTACTGGAAAATTAACGAGCTGTCGAGGAATATTGGCTCACTCCCGGAGCTCTGGGATGGATTATACCGTGCTGTGAATGCACAAACTCATATAATTGTCGAGATGAGTCGTAAGCTTGGAACTTTGGCTGAGATTCATGCGTTGGCACAAAAGATAGATGCGATCAAGGAGCGAGTGGACGAATCAGCACGCATTGGGATAGATTAATTACGCCATTATTGGATTTTGTGAGATTGAGGACCAACAGAACTTTAAGACAGAGAAGAAATTATCTCTTCTTATCTGAATCCCCAAAACAAGTTATTTTCTGAATCTGGTGCCCTTGAGCCTGTGAGGATGAAATGAACCCCCCCCCCCCCCCCCCTCCCCCCCCCCCAGAAGAAATGTGGAATGCTGCCATCACCATGGCAACTCTGCCTCCCTATCCCAGCCTGGGCAGGACTGCGAGCTGTGAAGGCCGCTGAATCGTTCGAGGAGTCACTGTGCTCTGTAAACCCAACGGCCTTCCATCCCTTTCCAGACTGAGGTGACGAGCGCTGCTTATCGTGGCTGCATGCACTGATGTGAGGAGAGTCCCAAACCCCACCACCCCACCTAGTGGACACTTAAGTTGTGTAATGTCTGAGGTCTGTTGCATTTCTGTCTGAGGTGTTTTTTTGCATAGCAAAGCTGCCCTCCCTGTGGAGAGTAACTCTGAAGTGCCTTTTTTTCCCTCCACCTGAACCAATCCTCATGTAAACCCTCTGATCTCTATTAAGGTAGCACGACTCGGGTTACGAATGACCACAGTCACCAATTCTTGTCATGTGTCTATGCCTATGTATGAATGTCTGATCTCTGAATTGTGTGTACTGAAACTCTAATTTCCCTCTGGGATTATAAAGTATCTTTGAATTTGAATTTGAATCTTCAAGAAAGTTCTACAGAATGTAGCAAAGGGTCCTCAGAAATGTCGCTAGGCGCTTTTGTGAAAAAAGTCGTTGAGGGGGGTTGAAAAGTCTGTTAAGAACAGCGACAAAGCCACTGAGTGGGCAACGCTGCCTCGCGCTCTGCCGCTAAGCTACAGAGAGCAAACGCTACGGGCTATGCCGGAGCGTGAACGCGCATGACGTCATCACGCAGTACGCTGCCTCTGGGAGGCACTGGGGAAGCAGGCTGTTCGACCCATACATGCTCTTCTTCTGTGATTTTGCAGGAACACAGAGGCAATCACAGTAAAAAGAGAACGTATGAGGAAGACATTTCCTTTTAGTCCTTTTTACGTGTCCTAAACTCTGTTTATCGTTTCACATCATCAACCTCTTCAACTCAATAAAACTAAAGGAAGGTTAAACACCGAAGGTTGTACCACCACAATGAAACAATCCAAGTCTGTATCTGAACTTGTCCTTGACTTTATTAACCAACAGCAATGAGATGATTTGAAGAAAATCCCGTTTAGTGTTGGATAGGGAACCATTTGTGCCACAGAGCCCTTGTGTAAAATGAACGCTCTTCATCCATGCGCAGACGTGACCGCCATGTCAGTCAGAAGCTGCTGGCTGACATTGACAGGTGAGCTGCAACTAAAGGGCAAAGATGGAGGAGACATTAACCTCTGAAGTGTTAAGAATGAACTCAAATGCAGAGTATTTCTGATGGAAAATAGAAACATTTAACATAGCGCAATAGATTTAGCGCTGGAATAAGAGATTAGATGTCTAAAGCCCCCTTCAGACAGGCCATGAAAAACGGAAATGTTCCGGAATCTGTCCGTAAGACCTTTCTGTCTGAATACAAACATCCGGATAACGTGTTCCGGAATTTATCCGGACGAAGCCCCTAGTAACAGGTCCGGACTTGTTACGGACAGGGTGGCTGCTTCAGACTGGTGAGGTAAAGTTCCGGACAAGAGGGAGGGGGAGGGGGAGGAGGAGGGGACCGGGGGACGCTGTGCGCACCTATATAACTCGCTGCTGTAGCATGCGGCGAACCACGGCAGCTCGCCTCCTACGGTACCGTCTAGACGCGCGACGGAGCGCTTCACACCGCTTCAGTGATTCCTTTGACCATTGAGCTTCATCATCCAGGTCTCTTATGCGTCTTCGTGTGCGCAGAATTATGCTTAAGCGCCTCGTGATTTTTATCTTGAGAGGCGCTATAGAAATGATATTTTCTTCTTCTTCTTCTTAACATGAGTCCGATTCCCCCCCACCCCACCCCACCCCCCGCCGCCGTCAGACATCTGGAACTTTTCCCTGCTGTGTGAACGCAGCCGAAAGGACAAGTTCCGGTACAAAAGTGGTGTGTCTGAAAACACAGTTCCGGTTAAAAACCGGATTGAATTGTCCGCAAATGTTCCAGAATGTCTGTCTGAAAAGGGCTTAAGAGTGCAAGTTGTTCAAACCAACAGTTAAACTAAGTAACGTTTTCATATTTTTTTCAGCAAGTGTGTACTAAAATGAGCCTTTACAGGGCGAATGAAAAGTATCTCAGCCCCCTATGATCCTTATCCCCGTCTGCAGCTTTAGCCTCTCAGACCGGCTGCCCTGAAGTCTCACAAAGTCGCCTATCTCGCGAGAAGCAGTAACGCTTTACAGCAATCCATGTTGTCTGAAGAGACGAGCTACACCTGGCTAGCATTTACTGTAAAGGTGTTCATCACCGTGGAGCCTCAGAAAAGACAAAGAAAACGTTTATCTGATGGATATCTCGTCTCGTCCTCGAATTCTCACACACCGTCAAATCCTGAGTACGCTGCGACTGACTGCCGCTGAGCCACGCTGGCAGCCCCAGTCCAGTCGGCTAGCTGCTCAGAGCTGTTAGAGTAACTGTGATAGCCAGGGCTCAGACTTCCGCGTTTGGCAACTCCGGTCCTCGAGGGCCAGCATGTTTTGTTTTTCTCCTTGCTACAAAACCTGATTTTAATAAACAGCTGATTAACAGGCTTGTGTGAGTTTGGTGAGCTGCTGGGTGGTGTGCTGAAACAGGGAAACAAATAAAACATGCTAGAAGGCAACCCTCGAGGCCTGGAGTTGCCCTGTTGTAGATCAGGAACACAGGTAATTTGTTTGATTAAGTGATGAACCGCACCTGTAGTCTAAAGAAGACTGAGGCATTTCAGCAGTTAAAAGTGGTAAAAGGACAAATGCACAGTGACGGGAGAGTTCGACAGTCTGTTAAGATAAAACTGCACAGTGTGCCTTTAATTTACTAAACCTTGCATTTCTACAGAACAGTCTGCAGAATAAAGGCTCAGATGTTTAATAAGCTGAACTAAATGCAATGTTTAGCTAACGAATCACTCGTGCAATCTGGTCAATGCTAGTCACTAGTTCTGTACAGCAACGTTATTCAACCAAGAACATAAAAAACCCACTCAACACTGGTTTGACGTTCTGAATGTATTATTGGTATAACCACTCTTCAGGGTTATTATTTTATGTATTTTGTTTAGATGTGGTTTCGTTTTCCACCTCTGTTTGTCTTCTTGACAAACTTTCTTCCCTCTCAGGGTAGTTCGCCGAGGCTGAGTCACAAGAACAATAATCCAAACATGACCACTCTGTCTTCTCCTACACCATCCTAGGCAACCACTCAGACTCTAAGCCCAGAGAACAACACAAAGCCCTCAGACACTCGGTTGAAGCTACAGTAGCTGTGCTGCTGTGACGTTTCTGTCATGTTTTCGAGCAGGAAAGAGAAGCCAATGCAGCTGGAGTCTTGTCAATGCTGTGCTAAATTAAAATGCTTTTCAATGGAGGGTCACCTAGTATCTAAGGTATAGATGATACAGCATATGACACAAACCAGCCTGGCCCAATGTGAAAAGGTAACAGTCCCAATAATGGATAAAAAAAAACCTTAGATGGAACAACTAGTCATTGGTCAAAACTGTTAACGAGTCTCATCACTGTAAACGAGTGTCGTCCCTCTCTTCTTTTCAGAATTTGGATATTCAGCAACATTTAAGGGGTTTCCAACATAAAAGCCCTGTTTAAGGTGAAAGGTCAAACGTTCTCCTTCAAGATGTTCTGCAGAATTCATGTTTCTATCAGTTACAGCAAGTCGTCCAGGTGCTGAAGCAGCAGCGCATTCCCAGACCATCACACTGCCACCACCATGTCTGACTGCTGCTATGGTGTTTTTCTCTGGATGTCTCTTGCTTACTGCTGAATCATGACCTCTGACCTTAACCAACTGAAGCCTGCAATGCTTTAGATGATCTCCTGTTTTTTTTTTAGGACGGGCCATGATGCGTTACGTTTTTAGATGTTTTAGCCTTCTTCATTTTGTTAGTAATCAGGTCTGGGTGATGCTGGTTGATCTGAACTCAGCTTTAAAACCGATCTAGTTAATCACAGTTACTTTGTTATTTGACTAGGGAACAGTTACTTTTGCACACAGGGCCGGGTACTTGTTTTTATTACTTGATGCATAAAAGCATACTTACATTGTTTTGATCTGATACTGACATTTGTTTGTTGATCTGAAACATTTAAGTGTGACAATAAAACCAAAACAACTATATATCCATGAGGGAGCAAATACTTTTACATTCATAATAATAGATAATACTCAGCAATATTTATTAAATGACAGGAAAAAACATTTTAATCATCAACTGGGATCTGTTTAA